TCCCCCAGCATCCCCCAGCTCCCCTCTCCGCCGGGCCCTGCGCTGAGCAAGTGGGGCATGTCCTGACTTGGGATGGCGGCTTTGGAGAGCTTCGGTGCCACCCACCCCGGCGACCCCCAGCCTGGGGACCTGATCGAGATCTTCCGGCCAGCTTACCAGCACTGGGCCCTCTACCTGGGGGACGGGTACGTCATCAACGTGACACCTGTAGGTAAGGATGGTGCAGCCCGGCAGGGTGCAGAAGGGACTTTGGGGTGACCCAGGAGCCCTGTGTCCCTCCATGGGCTGGTGGTGGATCCTGTGTGGGATAGCATTTCCAGGAGCCAGCCAGAAACCCTTCTGAGGTCTCGGAGGGGCCAGACGGGGCCTGCCTGGCTCACCCCATCCCTGCCTTCCCCAGATGAAGGGCCCCCAGCCATGTTCGCCAGCTCCAAGTCAGTGTTCAGCAGAAAGGCCCGGGCGAGGATGCAGCTTCTGAAGGACGTGGTGGGAAACAACACCTACCACATCAACAACAAGTACGATGGCACCTACGCTCCCCTTCCAGTGGAGGAGATCATCCGTCGCGCTGAGTACTTCATCGACCAGGAGGTGTCCTATGACCTGCTCGGCAACAACTGCGAGCACTTCGTGACACTGCTCCGCTACGGCGAGGGGGTCTCTGACCAGGTAAGCAACGTGGTGCCTCACAGCACACCTTCGTGAGCCCCTGGACCCGGGACACAGCCTGCAAGCTGCACGGGGACATCAAAGCCCCGGGCGTAGGGTCCAAACCATCACTGCCTCTGGCCTCACCAGAGACCCTGGCCCAGGAGGTTCACTGTGGTTTGCACCCTGATAGTGCCCTCTCACTGAATGCCACCACCCAAGGGTAAAAGCCTGGGTGTTACCCCTTCTGCTTATGGGATGGGTGTCTCTCATTCATTTAATTGCCTTGATTATCTCTGCCTGCTCTTCATTAGTGTGCCTGGGGGTAAAAAAAAAAATCAAACCTCATCATGTTTCCAGCCTGTGTTTTACTTCCCCTTTGCAGGCCAAACGAGCAATCTGTGCCATTGGGGTTGTAACAGCTGCCGCTGGTGCCTTCTCCGTGCTGGGCTTGCTCCGGAGCAGATCCAGAGAGAGACAGTACTGACGGGCCGCCAGGACAAGCTGGGAGCAGAGCAGGGAGCCCCTGCCCGGGAGGGACCCAGGACAATTTGTGGCCACAGCTGCTGCCAAGGCTTACTAACAACTGCACTGCCCTTGCAGAGGGCAGTGTTAGCCTATTTGCCACATCTGCTTTTATTGCATTGCCTGTGATAACTTTTGTGATAGTCTGGGAGTGCTTGCAAGCAAATTTTCCACCCTCACGCTCCTGCTGCTCTGCTGAGGCCTGGCACAAGCTTTCTATACATCCTGTGGGCCCTTTCTGTGAATAACCTATTTTAACCTTCATATTTTTACTTTTTTTTTAATCAAAAGTAACGTAAAACTATTGCTGAGGGTTTATTGTGTGTCCTCCAGCTAAGCACCTGTGCAAGTAGAAAACCCCAGGTTCCAAGGCCTGCAAAAGGGCAGACAAAGCATGCACTGTCCCCCAGAGCCCGTGCCCACGGTGTCTAAACAGAGCTGCTCCTGTGAGGGTGGGAGGTAGGAAGGAAGGGCAGGTCTTACAGGCTTTTTTTGTCAGTGTTTGAAATGAGTGCTCTGGTTTTGGCATGATGGTGTTTTGCTCAGTCTTCTACCTGGCAAGCATCCCTTTTCTTGGCTTCTCTGGCTCCCTTTGGGAGCAGCAGACCCCCAGTCTGGGGCAGGGGGCTGACAAAAAGCCCAGCTAGCTTTTTCTGTGGCAGCTGTTTGTTCTAGGTTGGGACTGCTGTGCCACTGAAATTTCCCTCTTCATCCCTGTAAGTGCAGTAGTTGTTGGCCTTGGACCTGACCAAGGTTACTAGATGATCTTTAAGGTCCCTTCCAACCCAAACCATTCTATGAATCTACTCCTTGGGCTGCCAAAGCACTGAGGTTTAAAGAAAGACCACCATGGTCTGCAAGGGCAGCCAGGAGCCTTTGCCTAGCCCCTCACCCCAGAGCTGGGGCCCTTGGCTCCTCAGTGCCCAGAAGCTGAGTTTAAGCCAGTTGTAGCCCCAGCAGAAGACTGACCTTCCAGCCAGCGGGAAGGCAAAGCCAGGGTCCCTGCAGTGCTGTGGGCAACGTACCTGGAGAACAAGCTGTGCAGCACCTATACACCACCTCCAAATCTGCACACCCCTGTTATTTCCCTGTCACAAAGCTGATGTGTGGCTTGTCTTAGAGAAAACTGTTTTGGAAAAGTGTGATTTATTACCCTTTACCAGGAGTATCATCTGGCTTGAGTGTTTGGAGCCATGTTATTTGCAAATTGCATTCCTGTGTTGCTTTCACCACATGCAACTGCCTGGACTGTAAGAAGAGAAGAGATGAGAGCAAAAGAGCTGTCTGTAAGAGGCTTGCTATTTTTGACTGGTCTTAACATGTACATGAGGGGATCAGAAGCTTTTTTTAAACATCATTTGTTTCAGTGTTTGAAATAACATAGCCCAGACTTCTGGTCGTATTTTGTAGTGCCCTCTGTTACTACATTTAAATAAAGTTCCTCTTTTTATTTATGGGAAAACATATTATAATAAAACAATCTGGAAGTCCTTTTTTGCTTTCTGCGAATGTAATCAAAATTTCTTCCATGGCTAAACTAATTATGTGGTTGAACAGCTTGAAGATGAGAGAGCATGTAGAGGGGGGCTCAGGTGTGTGTACCTGTCCAGCAGCCGTGTGCCAGAGCACGTCAAAGCCCCTGCTCCTTGGCATGACCTAGTTAAAGTGAGAAGCCAAGGCTTAGCCCTGCTTTCTGCCGCATGACACCAGAGCCAGGCCAGGACCTGGCAGCAGCAGAGCACAACCCGGGGTGTCCTGTGCGTGTGCACAGCATCTGTGCTGTCCTTGGCCTTTGCAAGCTTAGAAGTGGGGCTTATCCTCGCCAGCCTTCCCAGCCTGGTTTTACAGCAATCTGGGAGCTTTAACCTTTCCTGTAGTCAAAGCATTCTGTCTGCAAGAACTAGCAAGGGAGAACTAGGTGAGGGCAGCGCATGCACCCTCTCACATCTGTAATTCACTCTGGGATGCAATAAAACTGGAATTGCTTCATCTGGGGAACTTTCTTGTAGTTCTTGGAAGCTGCAGCATTTCATTTAACTCAGGATTTTGCAATTGTACGCGTGCTACTCTGTGCGGTCAAGATTAGGTCACTTATTTTGGACTGCCTTGCCTTCAAGCCCAGTGGGTGCATGAACAGGATTTTGGTGGAGCAGCGGTTGAAACATGGAGTGAAAGTGTGACATGGAGCAGCAGAAGCCATCGCTTTGCTCTATTCAGTATTTCTGAGCCTCTGTAGGAGATGTTGGCAAGGCCCGAGACCTGCTGTTGCCATGGAGTAGAGTCAAGGCTGTTATTTTCCAGCAGCTGAGAGAATAATCCTTGCCTGTGCTCCGGGGCCCAGCCTGCCCCTGAATGGATGGGTTTGTGCAGGGATTCCAGACATCTGAACCTGGTGCGCATCAAAGGATGAAAACACGGGCTGCTCCATGCAAGGTGAGGAAGCTGCTGGCACTGCGCAGCCCCGCACCCGGCTGCAGGGTCTCGCCTAGTCGTCATTGCTGTATTCATAGGTGGGGTTAATGTAAATCTCATCTGTGCTTTTTGCTGCAAAGTCTTTTGCATTTACAGGAGGCCAGGTGGGATCCCTCTGCAGCATCCTCTGCCATTTTCGGTACTGGCTGTTTGACCGGTACCCAAACCAGGCTTTAATCAGCAGCCAAAGGTGCTTGTTCTGCAAGATAACGTCCTGCGGAGTGGCACGGCACAGGGTCAGTGCTGTTGCCCTTCACTGGAAGGGAGAATTACTCAGGGACAAAAGCCATCCCCAGCTACACACGCAACCCCCCTGAGCCCCATGGCGCTGGGTGGCTGCGTGCACCCCCCTTCAGTAACACAGCTGCCGAATGCCCCCTTCCTCATCCACAGGAAGGCTCTGCTCAGTTACATCAGTACAGTGCTGATCTCGGTCTGTTTAGCTGAAAGGGATAATCAAGGGGCAAGATTTTCCTCCTGGCACTGTGGGACAAGCAGGCACTGCTGCTCCTTGCAGGGGACAATACCCCATGCTGGATACAGCCAGCCTTGACACACAAAACACTTCAGGGCTTAGTCATTACTGCAATACCCAGCGGCACAAGCCAGCACACTCTCTGGCCTGGTCGATTGTAGGACAAGAGGGAAATGGTTGTTTCAAAACCACTGCCAATTGCCTGACCCATGCTGCGATCTGCTCCCCTGTGAGCCAGGGCAGCGGGCTCTTCCTGGGCAGCTGCGTTTCAGCTCACTCTGTCTCTAAAGGCTTAAGGGATGTGGTCTAAATCACCTCCAGGGTTGCATAAAATGGATTTGACTGACACACATTGAGCCTTAAAAAAAAAAAAAAAAAAAAAGGCCTGAGGGTTTATGCTTCTGCAGTAGGACAGTGTTGCTGCAAATGGGGGTAGCAAGATCTGACCAGACACTGCTCCTGTCCACCCCACTGAACAGGCAGTAAACACACGCACTCACCTCCGTAAAAAAAGATACGCAAAAGGTGACCAAGAGCATCAGTAAGATGTAAACTCTCCAGATCACAGGAGTGCAAAGGAACTGTTGGAAAAGACATGAACAGCAATTAGGTTTAAATGCCTTGCCAAGATTTGCATCTGTTCCTAATGATTTGAGAGGCTGACTAACATTTTCCCAGTGGCAAGCATGGAGGAGGCACTAGGAAGTGACAGTAATTCCTTGTCACAGAGAGCTTGGAGAGAGCTTGGAAGGTTTGGTGCCAGCTTCCCCACAGCACGGAGCTGCCTAACTCATCTTGGCTACTTCAGCTACTGCTGAAGCCTGCAGATCAGGCACCTGAGGCAGGATCTAACACCCAAATACTTCTGGGGAGCTGCAGCTAACGCACCACGTGCGGCTCCTCTCCCTCTGGGTATGCCCGCCCTAACACCCATGCCATACAGGATGGCCAGGGATGAGCCACAGGGCTTGGGCAGCACAGCTGAAGGCAGCTGCCTGCACTGTGCCCTGGCTGAGCACCCGGCAGGGCCGCGGTGCTGTGGTACAGGGTGGCGGAGCAGCAGCAATCCCTGCCCACTCGCTTCTCCGGCCAACAAGCCGCCTCCAAGATGCAAAACCACAATCCATCCTATTGTGCTTTTTTGCTGAGAAGAAAAGCTCAGCAAGCTATAAGCACTTTTTCTTCTTCCTGCTGCCACCCAGCCTTTAGAGAGGAGGACTACCTCATTAATCAAGCCCTTGTCAAAAGGATGTTAGAGAAGTTTGAAATGGTTGCCCAGTCAGCACCAGATCAGCAAATTAATTTCCAAGATGACCGTAGCTGCAGCTTCTCCTCTGTATGCTTAGGTAAAGGGCCAGCAAAATATGTGGCATGAAAAAAAAATGCACATTCCGTTTGCTCTTACCTCCATGCCACGGTACACGACATCAATGTCAGCGAAGAAGAGGAAGAGGCAGATTGCAAGCTGGAGGGCCAGGAGGACTGAAAATACATCTAGGGAAAGAAGAGCATGGGTGGCCCTGGGAGGGAGGGGGGTTGGTGACCAAACTCTGCAAATATGCTGATGGGATCGCCAAATGCTAATGCTGTAAGACTGCCATCATGTAAAATGCCCTTCTCCCCCCCTCCCCGCAAAGAATAGCTGTGGAATTGAAACTAGAGGAGCTACTCCCCATCAGCCTGTTGCAAAGCTCACCACCTCCACTGTTTTTTCTTGCACAAGTGATTTGGCATGTTCTGATTCTTATACAACCACAGAAAACTGCCTCAGAAGGGCACTGCTGTGAGCCACACCAGCATCCCCTCCCCTGCGCTCGCCCCTCTGCGTGCTCAGCCGTACGCCAGCACCGCAAGCAGCAGAGGAGGCTGCTTGCCCTCGTGGGCTGCCCTCCCAGGGAGGGATCACAGAATCACACAGAATCACAGAATGGCACAAGGGTTGGAAGGGACCTCGGGAGACCATCTAGTCCAACTCCCTGCTAAAGCAGGTTCTCCTAGAGCATGTTACACAGGACATTGTCCAGGCGGGCTTTGAATATCTCCAGAGAAGAAGACTCCACAACCCCCCTGGGCAGCCTGTTCCAGTGCTCTGTCACCCTCAAAGTAAAGAAGTTTTTCCTCCTATTCAACTGAAACCTCTTATGTTTCAGTTTGTACCCATTGCCCCTTGTGCTGTCACTGGGCACCACTGCAAAGAGTATGGCTCTGTCCTCATGACATCCACACTTAAGATATTTGTACATGTTGATGAGATCCTCTCTCAGTCTTCTCCAGGCTAAAGAAGCCCAGCTGTCTCAGCCTTTCCTCATAGGGGAGATGCTCCCGTCCCCTCATCATCCTTGTTGCCCTCCTCTGAACTCTCTCTAGGAGTTCCTCATCTTTCTTGTACTGGGGAGCCCAGAACTGGACACAGTACTCCAGGTGGGGTCTCACCAGGGCAGAGTAGAGGGGGAGGATAACCTCCCTTGACCTGCTGGCCACACTCCTCTTAATGCACCCCAGGGTACCATTGGCCTTCTTGGCAACAAGGGCACACTGCTGGCTCATGGTCAGCTTCTGTGATGGATGCTTCTGTGACCAACAGGGTGCCAAGGTGGGCTATACCTCTGCCTACTGCAGGAAGAGTTTGTCTGGTTTTGCATCCTCTTCCAAAGGAGCAGGAGGCCACAGAGCAACGGCAAATGGCTCAGACATCTGGACATGCCAAACTCCCGGCAATTAACCAGGAGCTGAGCATCTTAAAACTGGCTGGTATATTGGGTCAACAGCTCCCAATGGACTCCTGGCAACCCTCTCACTGCCAGGAAGGAGAGGGGACAGGGCTGAGGGCATGGCAAAAGGAGGGAACTGCCCTTTGCATGCTCCTGGGGATTGTCCCCAAACAGGGGTAAGACACCGAGAAGCGAGTGCAGATTTCTCAGCTGACACGGTCCTCTGTCCTGCCTCAGCCTGGCTGCTTGCAGAGCTGCTTCTTTCTGGTCTCACCTGTCTTCTGCGGGTGATCAGTGCTCTGAGAAACGGGTGTGGGACCTGCCTTTTAACAAAATATCTAACAAAATCAACTCTGCTGAGATTAAGCAAAGTCCTGCCCTCTCATCCATGAGCTGCAATGGCAAAGGAGCTATCAGTCAACTGATGGCTACAAGGGCTAAATCATCCCGGAAAAAGAAAGGTTATTGTGAGAGGATTTTAACAGTGACAGTGTCACGGGCTTTTCTCCCTCATCTCTAGGAAGGAAAGTCAGGCAAGGTAGACTGCGAGTCTCAGAGGAACTCTTTTTGCTGTGTGTATTTTGAAACAAATATATCTGATCCTCATATGCTCTCGGTGTTCGCTAGAATACACTGTTCTGCTCTAAATCCAACCCATCGTCTTCTGGAAGGCACACACTTACCAAACCAAGATTCAGTCTCCTTTTGCAGCTCTGCTACTTCTTATCTCCAGCAGGAAGCTAACATAAGCAGCGCTCACTGAGCTTTTTTAGAAATGGAGAAGTAGGAGCTCACATACACCAACAACGATTTGACATGCCAGTCACTGGTA